AGAGAGAGAGAGAGAGAGAGGGGGGGGGAGGGGAATCGGAGCTGCCGCCAAAGCGATTTAGCTAATCGATTATTACGTATGTTTTGTCAATTGTCCCATGAAATCGTTACGTAAGCAGTCCCAAGATATGCTGCCGGTCGCATAAAAGTAGGCGCGTGAATCGTCCCGTCATCAGGGCAGATGTAAAGAACGTTTAAATCGCTTCTCTCTTGCGCAAATGTCACTTGAAGAGGCTTGCAGCGCCAGAGTCCTGTCGTTCGCGTGACAGAAAACAGGGTTATGCGCTGTACTATCGATGATATAGCGATAAGAATGTATCATCGCAATGTGTGGGATCTCATCTCTCTTTTTCTTCATCATTAATAATCGCGACACTTGCGGACATTTCACACGTTTCATAATGACGCATATTTCTGCGCAATGACAGTTGTTAATCAATTCTATTCAGCGATCGCTTATCCCCTTTACAGATTATCTTGCCTATAGATTGGATAAAATGGAGAATTATGTTAACTGTCAGCTAAATAGCTGACTACATTTCGTTAGATTAGGTAATAACACTAAAAGGAATAACAGTTGGTTTTTTATTAAACAGGTGTTTGACAAAAGCTGGCACAAATTAAATTTCGGAGTGTTCAAGGACAAGCTGGTGTTGCACATCGATTGCGAACACATTGGTACGGAAAAGCTGAAGCCGCACGGTCCGATTAAAGTCGATGGTAATCTGTCAATAGCCAAGATGAGTAATGGTAAAGTAACAGTACCGGTAAGTTCTATTAATATTTTTAACACTTGTGTTAAAACAATATTTAAAATATTCCTCGGTAGATAACGCACTCTCTAAATTTCCTACAATGCAGAATTTACTCTATGTGAGTGAAAAATCACTTAAATTCGAGCGACTCAGTGGTTCTTACTGTTTAAATAAAATTTTACTTTAAGAAATTTAGAGAATATGATTTTCCTAATACTATAAAAGAAAAGAATGTTATAATTAATAATAAAATAGCAAAAGTACAAATCCAACAAGTTGTAAGATGATATAATCAAAATGATATCCTAGTGAATCTTTCAGTTTCAGTCTAATCTTTTTAGACACAAAGATCTTACGCATATAAAAAGTCCAAAAATGTTTATAATACCCGCTGAAAGTGACATTCTTAATTTAATTTGGATCTACTTACTCCTTAATCGCATATTTTTCGGTGAAAGTGAGCTGAACTATTTATAAAGATCAACTCGCATGCGTGTATTACACATCTGACGCTCCTGAATTGCATAGCTATTATGTCATTGCGCGAGGAATGCGCATCTTTACAAGATAACGTTACGTGTCGGTCAGTACAATTAAGCAGTCCGCTACTTGATTACAGACCGCTTTACGCGAAACGAGGCTAGAACTATCAGTGTGAAAGGGGACGAAATTTAATATTAGACTCTTTGGCCCACATTCAGAACGATGTTAAAGTATGAGATAAATAGAACCAATAAATAGAAGTAAGCAAACGTGGCGACGACGTATATGGTATATGAAAGAAAATCAATTAAACGATCAAGGATCTCTGATGTACCATCAACAAGATAGATTAATGAAGTTTTATTTTCATCACGATCGAGAGTGAGTTTCGCAATTGAAATCTCGCGTTGTGGCTTATGTTGGCTTTGTTCTTCTTGTTAATTGTGACACTTAGGGCCGATTTTTCAATGATAGTTTAAACTTAGATTTCAACTTAAACTCTGTTTAAACGAAACAAATACATTGTTAGAATAGAGTTTAAACTTGAATTTAAGTTTAAACTGCTATTGAAAAATCGCTCCTTAGGCTGTTTAATGTCAGTTATTAAGGAGTTTATTCTTAAATTAAAATGATTAAAATTATAGCAAGATTTAATGTAACATTTATTGCAGTAAAAACACATTCGTAGTTCAGGTCAATCATGTAATTTGTTTGTGCACCGTTCAAAATTATTAAATTGACCAAGTATCTATTTGCATCACATTTAGATCGACATACAATGGATGGTACTAAACTGCGATCCTACGCGACCGGAACGAGAAACGTGCGAGGAGTTACCGGTAAGTTCGATATATTTCGAAAAGACTTAAGATTTGCAAACATTTGCCCAGCGTTATCACGCAGGTAGCCGCCTCGCTGATAAAACCCGCCTGCGAGATGATCTGTCCGCAGGGATCACGTGGATTCAACGGCACAAACGTAAGAATTTCAAAATTGCGCAATGCATTTTTTACGATCTATATCTATTAATTATTGGGCAATTACAGGAGAAATCTTGCGAATTTTTTAGTATCAAAAATAACAACGCCTATGAGTAGGCAATATACTTCACTGAGAAAAATAGTTTTGCTAATTTAAGGCTCCTGGAAAGTCGCATCATCCATCTCTTTTTAATAACGTCAGAAGCGAGAAAACGCATGCTAAAAATTCCTGCAAAGTACATCGAGATAAACAGATATATCCACAAAACGACATTTGTGATCGATTAAGTACACCTCTAAAATATTCCGTACACTTTCCTTTTGTTCTAACAATCAACAGGTAATTATAAAATAAATGTGACGTGCAATCATCTTTTCTAATCTAATTTCCTCATTATCTTGTCATATTAATTTTCCGATTATCTATTGATTTTTAGAACAAAAGGAAAGTGTACGGAATATTTTAGAGGTGTACTTAATCGATCACAAATGTCGTTTTGTGGATATATCTGTTTATCTCGACGTATTTTGCAAGAATTTCTAGCATGCGTTTTCTCGTTTCTGACATCATTAAAAAGAGATGGATGATCCCTAGGAGCCTTAACAAAATACCAATACCCACAACAAATGATTAGTAATATAGGACAGCAATCTAATCCAACTTTTTTTTTCTTTTTTCCGTATATATGATTCGAATATTCTGATGAAACTTGAACTAATTTGTTATCCATTGCTCTCGGGATTTTGCGTCCACACACTAATAAGATTTTGTGTACTCTCGCGAAATCAACCTGCACTAACCGACTGAATTAAATTCGACATATGTTACGATCTATGAGTTATTATCACATATTCTAAAATAAATTCATGCAGACACATGTCTCTATCGATTCAAAATCAGGGATCACCTGGTCCACCCGGAGCACAAGGACCAATAGGTGCACCAGGTTTAATTGGACTTCCAGGACAACGTGGGCCACCCGGGGAGCAAGGCAGAATAGTACGTTATCGTTGCTTATCTCGCAATTTAAAACTCCGAATGGCAATCAGATTCATTTATGTCCAAGTCATTCTAAGAAGTGATCATTTCTCGGAACATTTTTGCTAAGAAAAACATTAAAAATAAAGTACTTAGCAATTTAACCAAAATTTACAAAAAAGCTATGTAATCCTGAACTAGAAGGGTAAAGGAAGTTTCAATAATTTTTGAAGAGGAAATCGAGGAAGGCAATGAAGATTTAATTGTCATGAGGGTTGCCTTGAAAGTAACGAAGATATATTATCATTCTCGGAGGATTAATAAATCATTTTATGCTATCGAGACACGAATAGATGAGCGTAAAAGTAAGAAATATTATTTTATCAGGGAGCCCCAGGTAATACCGGTGCGAGGGGTTTCCCAGGTCTACAAGGTTCCAAAGGATCAATTGGACCCGTGGGTCCTCAGGGATTACCAGGATTTCCAGGACGAAAAGGCGATCGTGGTGAAAGGGTGAGCGTTGCGTCATGGAATTTTAAATTTCAGTGCGGTTTTAAGAATTGAAGAATTTCTGTGCGAGAGACAAAAGTAACAATAGAAAAGTAAACTCCAAATAGGGCGATACCGGTTTCCCGGGTTTGAAAGGAGATCAAGGTCCTCGAGGATTCCCGGGCCCGCCAGGGAACATAAACAGTACGATAGGCGGATTATTGTCGCGTTCTCTTGGGTCGCCTATTGTGGGCGAAAAAGGAGCCAAAGGAGAACGAGGCGATAATAGCGCCCCAGGATATCCAGGCGAAAAGGGTAAACATCACATACTGCCGTTTAGACAAAAGAATCTCACGAACCGCTTAATTGAAACAGATTAAATCCATTCGTACGTTCATTAATAGCGACCGAAGACACGCTGGACAATGTAATTCGATCTTGTTAGAAATCGCGTCGAGATACATATAACCGCGTTATTCTCGTCGGCGATGGAGCGCGGGAATATGATGAAACGAGTATTCTTGATTATCGTGCACGATGTAATCGAGTCACTACAATATCCAAGTCAATTTGCCGTCCAATCTACGATTTTACATGAAGAAAATGCTGTAGTAAAAATTATAGTAAAGTTATAAAATTGTAGTAAAAATCATAGTTAAGGGGTTATATTTCATTTTATAATGTTTTTGTGAAGCTCTCTGGACTATACTGAAATTGTAGTAATTGAGAGACTGGGTCTCTTAGAAGTCACACGGATCAATTGTCACAAAGCTATATCTCACATAATAAATGGAGGAGCATATTCTCTATAGTATCTTACATATAGTATAAATCTCTATAGTATCTTCTCTATAGATTGCTAATATCATAGTTGGGTGTACGAAATGGCTTATGAAATATCACATATGGTATTTACAAACACTTTTTCAAAATTGCATGCGATGAGTAAATTTATTTATTTCTATTTTTACTGATTCGTTGGGGTTTTGGAACTTATGACCATAATCTCTCTTTAGTCTAATAAATGTTATAAGTTTAGCTCATTTTTCTTGCATTTAGTTAACAGTTATTGTAGTATAATTTGTAAATATGATCTCTTTTATTCCAAATGATCGTTCAGGATGAGTTCAATAATCTTACGTAATGCTTCGTACATTTGTGAACATGTTAATCTGTTAATAGGATGATACTTTTAACATGAGCCATACACACGACAAACTGAAGATCGCTTGGCTTAATAAAGTTTATTATAGCGAAGAAGTCTCGCTCGTTCATCGATAGTGCGCCAGCAATGCCTGCTATGTCGCCCATATATTTTGTCTTCGTGACTATTTTATGAACATTGTAAAAAAATCACAATTCTAATAGCGACTATTAAACGACTCAGACGGCGCACGAGATTCCACGTACCGATACCCATTGACCCAGATGCGTTTATTCGCAATGATTGTAAATCAATTTATTGCAATCTGTCGCTACGTCTGTAAACTGACCGCTTATAAGTAACTCGAAAATCAAAACCGACCGTGCGTATAACGGAAACTCAACATTTTTGTTGAAAATTTAAAACTAAATGATCAACTAGGTTTTTTGATACATAATCAACTGAAAGAAAAAACCAATAAGAACTAACGCGAGATCTCAGTGGCAAAAACCATTTGGTCGTGAAAAAAATAAAATAAAAAAAAAACTAAGAAACAAAACTCTATTAAGAGGATGCTGGAGTCGATGACGAACTCGAACAATGTCGATAATGCAGAGACGATCGTCACTAACATAATCACGCTATCATTTTCGTATTTCTTGTATATATAGAACTTACATGAATGTGTGTTGCTTTGTTTTACCATATTCAATGGAAAACTTAACCATATATGTGTAGAAATCTTTCTGCAAACTTAAATAGAATTTAAATTTGGCCAATAAGTACCACGCAAGAATATAATTATTATTATTATTCACTACCAATATCCCTTGCATAAATGCAAAAGTTTTGGAAGACTGAGTGAGTTTTGCAACTGAAATCTTGGCTCTTATTAATCTTTTCTTTCTTGTTTATTGAAAATGTCACTTGATGCTTTCACGATTGATCCAACACGAAAATATGCGGCAAGGAAAATATGAAAAAATTATTATTAAACATGAACCAGATTATTATGAAGTTTAAAAATAATATTATTTTAAAATAATATTATATTAAGGCGAACGTGGAGAAAGAGGATACCCCGGATCAAATGGATCTCGTGGGCAGGACGGTGCGCAAGGTCCTCCTGGTCCTATGGGTCCATCTGGACCCAAAGGCGACGTTATATTCACCAACGCTCCTAGCATTCCAGGACCACCGGGTCCTCATGGTGTAACAGGATTGCCGGGGCCAACAGGTTTACCAGGACCGTCAGGAATACCAGGACCTCCGGGGCCACCAGGCCAGACGGGTCCGAAGGGTGATGTCGGAGAACCTGGTCGAGATGGTTCGCAATTCCATTGTTTTAACAAAAATTGGGCATTAAGATATCTTATTATTATAAATTGATTGTACTAGTCAAGGTTGTTTCATATATATATATTTTACAGAATAAATATACTCGGATATGGTGGTAACAATTATATAGATGACAAATATGCATTTTGTGTGTAGAATTAATGTATATAGTTTCATAAATTATTTTGTAGTTATTGCAACTAAGGCTACTTACTATACAGTTCTCATAACTATTCAGTTTTAGTTGTAATAATTACAAAATAATTTATTAAATTGCGTATATTAATTCTACAGACAAAACTCGTATAGTTGCCATCTATATAGTTGCCATTGCTACATTTTTTTCTCTGAATGTATCATAAATACAAAGAAAGCGTGGAAAAAATATTTAGTATTATTCTCAAAGGTACGCCGGGATTGACGGGTAATAGCGCGATACCAGGACCTCCCGGATCCGAAGGACCTGTCGGACCTCCTGGCGAAGACGGTTTTCCAGGCATTAAAGGAGAGGTCGGACCGATAGGTCCTCCAGGATCACCTGGAGTTCCAGGAAAAGACGGAATTCCAGGATTACCGGGACCGCAGGTATTTTGTTACTTGAGATGTACGATATAATGATGTTTTATTGTATATTATTTTGATTTTTTAGGTTTTCGCGGTGTCCATGCATATTAGATTTGGTTTCCGGGTTTGAGCCACGTGGATTCATCTTTGTTTGATTCCGACGTTTCGCGAACATTCAGTCCGCTTCATCAGGGAGGAACAACCCGATGTCGAGTTATTTCTGAGAGGTCTTCCTTATATAGTAGTTGGTATAGGGGGAGAGGGAGGAGGAGACAGGAAGGAGGAGGAGTAGCAGGAGAGATGGTGGTAGGAAATTTGTTGTCTGTCATGTTTTGGAAACCGGGAGAACGGATCGCCAGATTGGACTGATTTTTTGTCCATTATCCCTATTGAGATTGTTGGAGTGCTTTTGAATTTCCTTATTCACGCAAGTCCCAATTCCAGACACTATCAAAATAATCAAGACCTCAAAACAAGTCCCTTCCGATCTCATCCCCCTAATCGATTTCAGCTACAATAATCAAATCTATAAACAGATTTCAGATGCATGGGATCCCCAATCTCTCCAGTCATAGCTAATATCTTCATGGCACATTTTGAATCTCAGGTCATCCAAAAGTGCCAGTTGAAACTCCGAATATGGCTCCGATATGTAGATGATACTTTCATCATCTGACAACACATAACACACAACATCCCAACATTACTTTCACAATGGAAGTCGAATAAAATAACAGACTCCCTTTCCTGGATATCCTAGTTATAAGAACAAATGGCTCCCTGAGTCACCCAAGTTTACAGGTCAATCACAAGTTTACAGGAAACCTACACCACCAACCGATATCTCCATGCCGAATCACACTATCACCCAGCTCAAAAACAATCGGTCCTCGATTCGTTAATACACAAAGTATTAGCTAATACACAAAACATTAGTCATCTGCGACAAAAACAGCATCCAAAGTATCCAGCATCCTATACCAACTGCTGTATAAGGAAGACCTCTCAGGAGCAACTCGGCATCAAGTCGTTCCTGCCTGATAAAGCGGACTGAAATGTTCGTAAAACGTCGGAATCAAACAAAGATGAATCCACGCAGCTCAAACCCGGAAACCAAATCTAATATGTATATTATTTTCTTTCTACGTAAGATAACGTAACTTTTCATGAATATTTGTGGTTGCGTGCGATAAGGGACTTCTAGGTATACGCGGTGATCCGGGTTCGCCAGGACCTCGTGGTTTAGAAGGGCCCATTGGAAAACCAGGACAGCCGGGACTAGATGGAAAATCGGCCCAAAAAGGAAACAAAGGGCAACAGGGCGAACAAGGTCCTGTTGGACCTCGCGGGTTACCGGGCAGCACGGTAAGAACGAAGGAGAGGGAAGGGGGAGAGATTGAGAGTTACTTTTTATGAATAATTTATAATATCATTTATCATTTTGTGTGAAAAATAATTCATTGTCGTTACTCAAAAAATAACAAGTAATTTCCATAACTTTTTTCATCAAATTTTGAAGTCCCTCTTTCTTCCAATTCTAAGTCCTTGTTTCTTCTAATTTGCTATCACCCATCCCATAATCGAGAGAGTAATACAGTAGTGTCTCGCGCAAGCAAAGCGACATACTAACCGCGAGTTGGTTTACACAGCCGGTGTATATTTACGCGAAGCAATTAGTTAAACGGAGGCAAGGTTATCATACCATCATAACGGCTGAACTGAAGAGGTTCTGAGTTCAATTGATTCCAATTGAGTTCAATTGATTCATATTATATAATAAAACTGTCTTTACTTTTATCTTACGTGTTTTGTAAATCGATTTTAATTCGAAATATGAAATCGCAAAATTTCTCCTCATGTACACTTGATGTACTCCTGCCACAGATGTCTATACTATACTAGATAGCTAACTTCGTCAAAAGAGCTGAGGCCGATCGGATATCTGGATTCAGCTATGATACCTTACTACAAAATGGCGACGGTGTGTATATAGTGCACATGTGATATTCGGCATGTTAATGCGTATAGCGTGGTGATATTTACAATTATAAGTGAAAATACATCAAAATGCCGAGCAGTTGTTGCATTCCGAAATGCAAAAACAACTACAAAAGATGATTTTCATTTATTCAGGTAAGAATACCTGAATAGGTATTTACATATAATAAATATGAGAGTTTTGTAATATTTGAAGGTTGTGTTTCAATAAAAATTTCTAAATATTTCAGATTTCCTATGAATCGACCAAATATTTAAAAAACGTGGGTCGATGTCATCGGAAAAAACTTTACACCAAAGAAAAGCTATTTAATCTGTAGTGCTCACTTCGTAGCAACAGATTTTATGGACAGACCTAACGCAAGCGATGTGCGTTTAAAAAATCTTGCTGTGCCTTCTCTGTATTTTCTACTCCGGCTATTAATCCTGTTCCTGCGGATGTTAATATTTCTTTTGAATCTTGTACTTCGATTGAGTTTGATACTAGTCCTCTTCCTGCATCTGCTATGCCTGCAGTTGTATGGAAAAGTATATTAAAACCATAAGTGAATAATACAGATGTTAATTATATATTAAAAACTTTATTAACATTAAATATATATACTTACAAATATAATACTGCGTAACTTGTCGTAATAAAAACTATATTTTTTACTATAATAACATTAATGCTTTATTATTATTTTCTGCGTCCGTTACTACAATAAATGTTATTAATGAAAGTATTTTTTACATATTGACAGTAACAAATTTGATTTCATTACAGTTGAAAAAGAAATACAAATATTTTCGTATATCTCATACAATAACTGAAAAAAGCAGGAGTGGCTATATTCTGTTGTAAGGTGTCATGGCCGAATCGAATATCCGGCCGATCACAACCTTTTCATACGTCAAAGCCCCAACTTAGCGATCTAGCATGTATAGACATTTGTGACTCTTACCATCCGACCATCCGATGGCATTGCGAACGGCGTGTGTGACAGCCCACATAGCATAAGATATCCAAGATGTCCCAAAGACATCCAGAGGATTGCTAAATGTCCGCATAAGTCCTCAGAATATCCTAAAAACATTCTGAGGACTTCTAAATGTCCGCATAAGTCCCCAGGATATCCTTACAAGATCTTGTTGCTATTAGGGAGTGAAAGCGTGAGTGAGAGACAGAGAAAAAAAGCATAACGTACGGAAGTGATTTTGACAGAAAAGTACTATGTATATAAATGCTAAATGATTGAAGATGAAAACAAGAAAGACAAAAAGAAACAGAAGAAGGAAATTTTTAAAGTGGAATTCAAGAAATAATAAATATTTTATTCAGTGGATGCTATGTATAATAACATATTGACTTATATTAATATAAAATATTTTTCAAATATGAAAACATAAATTTTCTTAAAACCTTAAGAAAATCTTAGCTTTTCATGAAAATAATTGTTTAATCTATTTAAAGAAGAGAATTTAGATTTAATTAAATATGTTATTAGTACTTACCGAATAAATATTTGCTACTTTTTAGATATTTTTTTCTCAGTACAAGATAACTGAAACATGTAATGTAATTTTAGTTATCAGGATTCTCCTAATAACAAAGTTATTAGGATTCTCTGACTATATTATTTCCTAATCGCAGTATTAATTATTCAGTAACGCCGCTGTCAAGTCGTTACTGAAAAAAAGTAACTTGTAACGGGTAAAGCGTTGCTTCCCAACTGTGGGTAATCGCGAAACTAAAACATTGTGTACGCGCAACTATTTGATATTTTATATATTTAGGGGACGGCTGGCTCACCGGGTGCACCAGGTATACCGGGATTAGAAGGAAGACCTGGTTTATCGGGACTACCTGGGCCACCAGGACCACCAGGGCTTCCTGGTCTCCCAGCTCAGAACGAAAATGCAGTCTATCTGAACAGCGATAGTATCGGCAATCCAGGTCTAGACGGACCTAGAGGCCCGTCTGGTGCACCAGGAATTGTAAATATCTTAATTAGGAATGCAAGTAATTCCAGCCGTGTTCCGATAATTCGAAATAAACCAATTCTATGATTATGAAATAAACAATTAGCCAGGTGAAAGAGGAGCTCCTGGAGAACGAGGACCAGAAGGCCAGATAGGACTACCTGGAATGGCCGGCAAGGATGGGGCACCTGGTTTACAGGGTCCACCGGGGAACAGAGGTCAAACGGGTACGCCGGGACTTCAAGGGCCACCCGGTCGTAGCATCAATGAAGCGGAGATTCGAGATATTTGTGCCAGTGTGCTGAGAGGTGATCTTATCAGTGTGCCCGATCTCTTTCGCTCGCCGTCGACCGTCCCTCTAAAAATTAATTGAAGTTAATTAAAGTTTAACCGTTCCACCGTCTCTCTGATTCCCTTCATCTTCGTATCCAGAAAGAAACGGAGGATACATTATAAGCTTCAGTTAACTTTAATTAACATGTAGGGCAACGGCGTTATTTCAATCTTGTCGTTGAGCAATTAGTAAGATAATAATCTAATAATTTCATTGAGAGAATCTGCGAATTCTCGCGGCGTGCTAATGAAAGACGCGTCTCGCGTGCACGTCTAGGGATACGTGCGACTTGTCCGCGACTCTATTCTTCATCACCGTCCGTATACACACAGAACGGATGACCGAGATGGCAGCACTGATGCAAGGCCCACCTGGTCCGCCTGGCCGAGGCCGTCCAGGTCGTCCCGGATCACCTGGTCCCCAAGGTCGCCCAGGTACACCCCCGAGTCAGGGTTTACCGATCCCCACGCACTTATCACTCGCGCTCGGCACGACATTAATCGCATAAAGATCAGCTATACTACTTTAGGTCTTTCTTGTTAGTTTATAGACGAGTCTCGGACGTAGAGCGGAACGCTAGGAGCCTAACGCGAGAAGAGGCGTTTTGGCAAACAACAGCCACGAGAGCATCGTTGTCGTAGTAATCATCTAAACAAATGCTTGAAGTATCATCCACGCGTTATCGCACAATGACACATGCACACTTAACACTGTCGGCGGGTCAACGTTCGGACTAACGTCTCACGCGCTGCCGTGCGCCCATAAAGATAATGGTATACCGCATGTGTCGCAGAGAGGCTGAAAGAACTAACAGACGGTCTACGAGGGCTACCCGGGTTGCCGGGATTGGCTCGACAGGGCCGTCCCGGTCGAACCGGAAATCGGGGCATTCCAGGTATCTACCCACCTACCTGCTCGAAATCAACTGCGAGCATCGATAATGCCTGGAATTATGGCCTACTCGCGGAATAACGCAAGCTTCTCTCGTATAGTAGATTAGTCGAGTAATTTCATTAATTCATCAGTCACTCAACGTGTCTTACACTGGCGGACCTTTCTTTTGAAACAGAAACAGTCCCGTTGTGAAGATTCATGCTTGTCGTTTCATCATAATGATTTTGCTTTTCGATTTTCAATATCTCGCTTTCATTATACGATCATACGATTGACCTTGACAAACTGTTCTAATAAAAGATATCTCTGGTTATCTCTTCTACGAGCTGAGTTTAATGCATGAACGCAATTATTATACTCGCTAAATTTTTTTGAATGAAATTTCACTCAAAAAGTAAAGTGATCACAGAATCACATGAATTCGAGTTATCTTTCATTTATATACAATGAATTCTTTACTCTAAATCATCGAATCAATATCTTTATTTGAAATTGAAGAGTCAATTTGATGTGCTCTGTTGTCATAAATACTTACTCTGATAACTGTCATAACTCTGACTAAAACATTTACTGATATGGAGTTAAAATCCAGGTTAAGCTTAAGTGAAACATTCATTCTTGCGACATTGAAAAACAATATTTACTATGGCTTCCAGTGAAAATACTGTTCGTTTTGAATGAGATTGTAGTCCAAGAAATTTAGGAAGTACAGTGGATTGCAAAACACAATGAAATTGGGAGGTCATCATTAAAATTGAGAATCATTACTGTAAGCGTGTGTATTCAGTAATTACATTATTATTAATTGTTATTATTTATTATTCTTAATTTTATTAATTTTATTAATTATATTATAGCGTGTGTGAGGCTATAGATAATGACTCTCAATTTTGATAGTTTGGTGAGCTCGCAACTTCATTGTATTTGAATCTTTTTGCAATTCATTATATATGTGATTCAAAGTATATTTATCGTTCTACGTATGTGTATGAAACATTCTGGCTCTGATTAATCCCGTTTACGATCATTTAGGTGATCCAGGATCGCCAGGTTTGCCGGGGGAACGTGGATTCGTCGGTTTACCGGGCCCACAGGGTCCCACAGGACCACAGGGTCCGTCTGGCGAACGCGGAGAGAAAGGAGATGGAGGTCCAGAAGGAATTGGTATAGAAGGACCACCTGGTCCGAGAGGGCTGCCAGGTCAAATAACGCCATCGTTAATAATTAAATATCATTATTACGAGATTTGTTTTGGATAGCTATAGGATAATTGTATTATTTTTAACAGGACCCCCTGGTAATGACGGGGTTGGTTCACCCGGGAGACAAGGAGACAGAGGTGAACCAGGTAGACCAGGTAAAAGGATCCTGTCTTGAAAAAAAAGGGAAATTCTCTTTCCTTTAAAAAGGGCAAAGGCAATTTCCTTTGAAATATCTAGAACATTTTAACTCCCTTTTAAGAAAGAAATTATTCTAAATGAATTTTCCGGTAAATTTAACATCTGAAAATTTACAGAATAACTACAGAATGTTTCATTAAATATAATTTTTGCTATATGGTATTCATAACTTTACTTTGTACGAAATATCGTACTAATTCCATTTGTTCGCAGGTGTTCCGGGTATTAGAGGAGCGCCGGGAGCGCATGGACCACCCGGATTTTGTGAATTTTGTAATTATCCTAGCAATAATTATCTGCAGTACAATCGTGGTAACGAGAAAGGTCCTTGAAATACGATAATGAACAACGACAAAAACACAGGAAATTCCTAGAGAGAAAGAATATTGTGGAATAGCTTAACGTATATTCGATATAAATGTTCAAGATTTTGCATTTATCGTTAAACCGGAAAATCTCTGCGGATTCTTAATAAGTTACTGGCGTGTAAAGACGGTATTTCTTGTTCAACTACGACTTAATTACGATTTTAACACCGAATTTAGCGTATTGCATATTATTTAATAAAGCTTACTTTCGATACACTTGTTCATTAATACCTTACGTTGTTACATTACGTTAGGTTAGATTAGATTAAGTGCGACTGGTTTTTATATTGCGATTTCTGTCTTAGATATAATTAACAATCCGGACCGCTCTTTAAAATAAATCAAGGAACTTCCCATTGAGTAACAATAACATTAATGTTATAATTTCCTACTCAATAATGTAATTGTTACGCATAACATATATATATATATATATATATATATATATATATATATATATATATATATGTGTGTGTGTGTGTGTGTGTTAATTATTAATTTTACTGCCTACCTATACGATATAGTGGACCACAGTATCGACGAAATATTAATCGAATCCTCATTGTAACTTCGTCGCATCGTTACCTGAATTTGATAATAGTTAATTATTTTTTGACAAGTTCGATCATTTTTATCGAGCGCATGCGAGCTAAAGTTCTTACAATCCAGCCAATAAGCAAAGAATATCAGGTCAACATCTGGAAATATTGATCTTATCTCTTGAGCGTGTTTACGTTTGATATTTTCGGAACGACTCAGATATCACCGGATAACATGGTCTCTATGAATATTGCAGAATCGCTTTAGCGGCATCGAAGTGCCAAAGTAACCTGCAATGATGTTGATACGAGCTACTTAGACGTTATACGCTGTTAGGTATCGTTACGTTCTATCGATGATTCTTTGCTTATTCGCTAGATGTTTACAGTATTCGTTGTGCTAAATTCGAATATTCGCGACATACTCGTCGGATTAAAGTATCGATAGCAGTATCTACCTGGATGCGAGCTATCGGGGGACAAACAGGACTCCACGACAGAGTGCTTCCAGGTGCTGGCTTGCGGCACGGAACACGTTGCACACAGTAGCGCGCGCGCGCGATTGAAATACGAATTGTCGCGCGCATCCCGCGGTCCAATTCTCCGTTCTCCCGTTCACGCCGGCGACGGCGCCAGTGGCGTCGTGGAGCGTATCAGCCACGGGCCAGTGATGGCCGCGGAATTCGCGACGTGCGTCACATCGGCATCCCAGCAGCGGGCTTGTTTATCGTGACGCCGTCCCGGCGAGAGAGAACCCACGCCTCGCCCGTCGGCCAGTTCCACGAGTCGGATTCGTTTTCGCTGCGACAATCGTGGATTTCGCGCGTGCTTCCTGAACGTGTGGCGGATCCCCGGCCGAGGGACACGAAGCGCACCCGACGGAGCCGCTGCGCCGAGCAGTTCCGCGCCGGGGCTGACGAGTGCGAGACGCGAGAGAGCGAGCGATCAGAGACGAACGACTGTTATTCGCCCGCGGCTCGTTTCCTTTCGCGGCGAAGCTCATGGCGAAGTGGGAGCGATAAGGGATTACGTGGGAAGCCTCCGAGGAGCACGCCACGGCGACTCCACACGCCCCGGTCGGTACCTTTTTTTATCGCACGCTCGTTGGCGACACGCGCGCACGGAGCGCCCCAGGTAGACAGGCAGGTAGGTGGATAGATTGCTACGCCGACCGGTAGAACAGGTTAGGTGCTTGCGCGCACCCTCGTAAAAGGCTATCGCGGACCATCGCAAGGGGTCCGTACTTTTTTTATTACCCGCTTGGCCGTCGTCTGTTCCCTCTCGCGTGACTCTTTTCTCTTCCTTCTCTCTTTTTTATATTTCATTCCTACTCGGGATGTCCGATCAAATATTTATCCGGCGGCGAGGAAGTGTAGCGCACGCGAGACGACCATTCAGCACGCCACTGGGAAGTTGTCGACCCCGCCAAACCGAAGGTGTTTCGATTCACTAGGGCATCGATAATTTGATTTATAATTGACGTGTATCACGCGCGCGGTGCTTCCTGCGGTGACGAGAGGAAAGGAGGGCTCTTCCCCCTACAAGTCGGAGAAATAACTGCGGATAATTAGCACGTGTTACCGGACATTATAGGGATTATTATTAGGCGTCTTGAATCGTTAGTGATTATTATTTGTGACTGCGTTCGGAGCAGAGAAAACTCCCCAGGTAGCGCATACCGTTTAGAAACATTCCCGAAACGTTTCGTAAACGTTTTGTTAAGCCTAATCTACAATGTGCTTTTTGCTACTTGTTTTTTATTCTCAGTCTTTTTTCTTGTATAAGATTTAAAGTTTGAATCAGAGAGAGAAAGAAACAGAAAGCAAAGAACATACTGTATATAAAGCTGTAGGAAACATTGCGATACGTTTAGAAATCGACATATATTACTAGGGTCCCTTGCAACTGTTTTAAAATTTCCTGAATTTGATTGGTGTGTGCTCTTAATTTTGGCTGAATCTAAAAGCATCTGTCAATCAGATTCACGAATTTTAGAACAATTACGAAGCAGTTTTCTCTGCTAAACGCAACGTAATATTTACCAGATAACGCTTAATGATTTAATAACTCTAGAGACTCGGTATTCGAAACAAACCATTAACTCTGACGACAGTTTTATTGAGGAATCGAAATTTATTCGCTCTCATATTCTGTTATCGCGGGTTTGCCATTAAAAATCAAATGAAACGATGACTCAAGTCTGACCGGTTGTAACGACGTAACGTCGAGGTCGATGCGCTCATCATTCACTAATGAGGTGTCTGAAACAGCGAAATCAATCCGTCTATACATGATGCTATCGACATTGAACATCTGAAATTCAAAATCTGGTTAATTTCACGTTGAACGCGCGATGCGAAGTTGAAACAAGAGTGGTGTAGTGTTTATCGACGTTACGCGTCTGTTTAAGGTCAAATACTAACGTACACTTGGTATCAAAACTGCTTGAACGCATTTTTCTCTCGTGCAGCTTGGAACGCAGCCAATGATCCAGTGAGGGGAACTTCTGAGAATTTATAAAGAAAAGAACAAGTTCTCGTCGGACCATCGTCTGCGTTCCAAAACATATCGAGAAAAAAGTTTTTGAAACATAGTGTACACTTGTTTGCGTTTGACTAAACGGTTTGAATTATGTTCTTTCAACACAGTCGAATGGAAGAATTTGTTTTTCAGTCATTCTCATGAGTCAGGTTTAATTGGATGCCGAATGCTTTTTGAAAAATATCAAAAAAAGTTCAAACCGTTTCATAAACGAAGATAGAAAAATTATTTGTGTATTTAGAAAAAGAACATAATTTGTTATTGGGTAAAAGTGGGATAAAAATGTATTTTACGGAAATAAATTTTATTTTACTTCATTTAATGTTTTTACCTTGTTTAATAATAATTTTACTTCAAATAAATCTCATTTCGCAAAAATAAACTTTATAATTCAGAATATAAATTTTCATGTATTCTTTTCTCGTGTAATTTTTGTAAGTGTAATTTTTGAGATGAGTGTGAACTTTCCGTTTTGTCCAATGCGAGAATGTATATCGAGAGTTCACAAACAGCTCAAAAATCACAAATTGTCATAATTTTTCTGTTCATAAAGGTAGCTACAGATCGGTGTAGTAGCCAATCGGTGAAGTTACGTTTTTCTAGAGCGCATAGTGTACTCCTACGGTAAATTCTAAATTGATATAACCTCATATATTGCGTAAGACTATTATGCCATATATACACTGTGTTCCGCACAAGAATAGCAATTGGCGATGTGTAGAGAATCATCTTTCACATGAGACTGTACCGTGTAGCGCGATTAATCGGCGAGAAGATGCTACTACTGTAAAAAGAGAAATTCCAAAGGACATTTTTCCCTAGCTGCGCAGGCGCGTAATTACAAAATTACCCCCGCGCGTATCGGTTACTTAACGGCCCGCGCAAGTGAATCCAGCTGTACTACTTCGTTTTTTTATCTGTGTTACATTAAACTCCCCACACTGCGGAATGCACGATGCAGCGCGCGAGTGTTATTGTTTTTCGCGAGGTTTTCAGCAAGAATACGTTAAATGCGTTAGACACACCGGACATATTCAAGTGGTGTACGCGCGAATTTGAACTACAGGCGAGACACTGCAGACAGACGTGCCGACGGAAAAGCGAAAGAATTTACGTGTGCCACGTGAGCACACACGGAAATGCACTACATACCGACATACGCGTTCGTGTCGCACTAATTTCCTTCACCGTTACCGCCGCACTCCTTCCGAAACGGTATTGTCAGTCGGATAAAGATCTGACTGTTGTCAACGCGAGCTGAAGTTGGCCGCGCCTTTTAGCCGCTCCATTTCGCGCGTTCCCTCGAGCGCGCCTGACCGCCCGGCGTTCCCTTTCCGACCGTTCCCCCGTTTCTTTGACCGATCTTACGTTCCCCCACCTGGCCCACTTATCGTATTGATTCAAACTTAGGCATCCGCGTTTAGTTCCCTCATTCCGTCGAACCTATCGGCCGATATTCCCTCATTGCTTCCTGATCAGCTAGTTGCGCCAAAGTGCTGATCAATTATTAAGGCCATCTAGACGCGGCGCGATGCTCGACGCTATGTTCCGTGTATCTGTGTTCGGCGCTTAGCATCCAATATAACACTTCGTTCGTCCAATTAGGCCCTTTTGCCTTCCTAAGGATGGCGTTATTCCGCATTTGCGCACTGATCCTCTCAGCTATCTGAAAATGTTGAGTCGGAAAGAGTATCTGTTGGATTGTATCTGTTTTTATCTTTTTATTCAGATAGATACTTTTCATATGTATATAGCATATTACCTGCTTGGCGATTAACATAAGCACGCACAGACGCGTCTTCATTCAACAAAATTTTTCAGTACATAAAAGAAGAAGTCATCTGGCGTCATGAAAATTGCAGCAATATTGCGCCAATATTCTGATGTTATGAATATAACCGCTTATCTTGCCAGGAAGAGAACGCAATTAATCCGGAATTATTGTACAAATGAAATAAAAAGTAAATTTCTTGATAAAAATAGTTAATGGGATAAAACAAATGGATATTATTTAAAACGAGGGTATTTTAAATACGTGCGCATTCTGCGCAACAATAACATCATAAAATATACATTAAAGGTTTGCGTACTATGTTCAGCGTCTTTATTTATGTGGGAAACTCGTGTTAATTGAAATCGGTTGCTTTATAATAAAGTCGAGTTAGTTGAAAATTACGTTTCATTTACGACACATTATTAATACATGGACTTTTTAAAGCAAGAGACCGAGTGTCGTTCTATTCGCTTATCTCGCAACAAACATTTTCATTTTTAATACGTTTTCCCGTAGGACCTTAATATCCTCGAGAAGCAGATAGTGGAAGTCCAAAAAAGGAAATTATTTAATACGAAATTCATTTTACTTGTAATAGAATTCTAGTTCCGCAAACGGCGCGTCAGCCGTAAGTGGGTTAATTCAATTACGATCATTGTATCGCAAATAGCCGTACGGAACAATCGCATAATTAGAACGTCGATTACAACGCGACATGGCGATTGTCTCGGTGAGAGGCAGCGAGTAACTTGCTGAAAGGATGAACTCGCGTGTGTGTAACGCGAAATATCGGCCGGTTTTAAATGAATTACACCGTCGGATATTGACGTTCACTAACTGGGTCGATCGTTTACGTAAAGCGGGTTACACCGTCATGGTTGAACGGCCTTCGGAGAGTCAACTCTTTTTCCCGGAAGTGGGGCCCTCGCCTACGTTTCCACGAAAGAGAAAACAATGTAACGACGAGGAAAGAAAGCTCGCAACAGACGATGAAGCCACAACAATATCGATGTCCATTTCGTTAACCGCATAGCCGAGTCGCGCGATGATGCATCTGTAAGATAAAGTACGTCGCGTGTGCTCTCTAATCGTCGCTAATTATCTCTTTTTCTCTCTCTCTCCCTTTGTCTGCTCCTTCTCCTTCTCTTTCTGGACCCGTCGACAACAAACGGTTCCGTTCTCGCAATAATGACGTGGCGTTACGTCTCTTGCACGAGCTGCGAAGTAGATGCAGCTTTGCCGCGCCGTTCACACGCGTGATGCAGAGTGAGTTTCGTGAAATTAAAAGCAGGAGGTAGGAGGGAGGAACCTGCGGCTCATGAGAGATCGCGAAGCGAAATTACGTGAAATCACGGCTTCTAATTTTCCACGGTGTGCGCGTGTATACGCGCGCGTACGCAGCCGCTGCTGAAAGATGCAGTTGCATTTAATTGTAACTGACGGCAGTTATTCCGGGTATACTCGTTATTTTCCAGCTGGAGGCGCGTAATTTCATTCTGTTTTATTTGCTCCGTTTAATGCTTAATGTTTGCGGACGCGGCGCGATGCGAAATCGCACGTCCCGGCCGAGCGAAAGGCTCGTCGAGAATCGCGCGAGAGTCAATTGGCTGTCTATTCGTTTTCGAAGAACTTCTGAATCAGTGCACACTGGTGCAATAAGTCAGGATGAAAGAAAGTATACTTGTCTCACTCTGATTTATTGCACTGATGCAGAAGTTGCTCGAAAACGAAGCAGACCTTGCGATTAATCATCGCGCGGCCTTCGCTCCGCGTGTATTCGCTGGTCTTTTGCGCGCCGCATAAATTTGCTGTTGTTCCTGGAAAAAGAAAAAGGGGGGATACGTACGAGCAGTGTGTGTCGCTCTAACTCGAGATCGTGCATAAATTTACGCGTTGCAAAACCAGGCTCGCTGTGAGCGATCGCGAAGGAATGCGCGCGAAGAATCGACGAGAGGAAATAGATAAGCGTGATTATCTGCGTTCATTCTGTGTGCAGCGAAAATGGCGGAGGAAGGTGCGGGTGGATCGGGAAACGGGAGCAGCGGGGAGACGAGCCGTTTGCAGCTCCTGCAGGAGATGCGGCAGCAGAACTTCGATACCATTCGATTCGCGTCATATCGCACCGCCTGCAAGTTGAGATTTATTCAGAAGAAAGTGCACCGTAAGTATAATGTTCGACACATTCGTGGAAGAACGTATCTCTGGAACGTATTTTTATTTGTATTACTCCCGGATTACTGCACACAAGAAAATATCAATCTATTGCTAAGAAAAACGATTACTCTTATTTCTTCTTTAAATTAATCTTCAGCAATAGATATATTTTCTTCATAATGGTCTTAAAATATATTTATAACAAATTTTAGGAGAGCTTATATGGAACTTATATTGAGTACATATTATTACTCAAGAGAAGAATTCATTTCCTTTACATGAATATTGTAAAAGTTGACTCAACACTATGTAGTAGGCAAACCGAATTTTTCTTTTAAATTGATATTGTTGGTCAAAATGCTAAACTTATAAGGATTTAGAATGGTTTTGTAATAAATTTCATGCTTATGATTTGCAATATATTTGCAATATATTTGCGGACTATAAACTTATAAAATACTGGAAACAGATGACATTTGTTCGAATGCAGTATGCATTTTTCTGCGTGTACTCTCACGCAGATCTCCGAGTAAATGTATCTGGACTCGTGATTGAAAGTCCAGATTAACACGAAGAAGAGAACTTTTCTAGAGCTTTCATCTTCCACTTCATCTTCCACTTGTTCTTATTAATTCAAGTTTTCAAGTACAATTTAGTTTTGACTTAATTGTAATAAGCGTAGTTCCGTCACGGTTGTTCTCTCACCCGCAGCAGTAATCCGGGATTAAACGCGTTATCGTTAACTGCACAAAGATCTTCGTCGCTCACGGATGGGTGTTTCAGAATATTAACTCCGGAACGCTAATTTCCTCTCGCGTTCTGTACAATTGTTTCTTGCGTTCTGTATAATTGCATTTACGTTAATTAGTAAGACGGCGCGCTTTGCGTCAGCGTTATCGGACGAAAAAGACGCGGGCGTTCCGATCTCAAGTGATTTCGTTGTATAATAATAACGTTGTATAATAATAACGGTTGTATAATAATAACGATGTTATAACGCATGAATTGTCGTATGCAGTGCACAACGTCGACATATGGAACGTGATCGAGGCGTTTCGGGAGAACGGTCTAAACACATTGGAGCCGTCGAGCACGTTAGGGGTATCCAGGCTCGAAACACTACTGTCTTCCCTGTTTCATGCACTGAACAAGAGAGTGCCAGTGTCCCAGCAAGCTAAAGTCGACGCAACCACGGCCTTGTTGATGAACTGGCTATTGGCTGCTTATACCAGCGGGTAGATATACTTTCTTGCTACATCGTTATTAACACCTTGATTGCCAAGCTGGTCACCAGTGACTGGCGCGTAATGTCGCCACCTCTCATTAATTTTTTTTACAAAGCACAAGAAACTTCATATAACAAATTAAATATATAGCCGGTAGAAAGCCAATAAGATGAACTCACGAATATATGCATCGCGAATTGCATTGATACCACATATTTGACGATTCAAACTTGAGTTTGAGCATCGATACAATCAGTGGAAATCAGCGTGGCAGTCAATGTGTTAAACATATATCAATGAGTCTCCGGTTAATCGTACTTTTAACAATAAATACTACACATGCAAGAGAAAAGAAGATACACGCGAAAGCATAATTGAAACTCTATTATATTTTTTGTGAAATTAATTAAAGATATACTGGTATCTTCTGTTGGAATCTTTTTATTCCTCAAAACTGTCGAAATTCTTTTTAAATCCGTTCAATAAAATCCACGAATAAAATATCGGATATGTCACAAGTAGAGCAGAACAGCCGCGATTCTTATTCACTTGATCATTGGCGACTCTTTAAACCAAACAATTCTTTCAGGGAGAACAATAAAATATCCGTATTCTCAGTGAAGGTAGCCCTAGCAACGTTATGCGCTGGAAAGCTCATGGACAAATTCCGCTGTAAGTCGCAAACAGATGCTCTTCGCACAGATAGATCGTCGAGCAAATTCACCAATGAAATTTTATTTCGATGCGCAGATATATACTCGCAAATATCCGACAGCAACGGACACATGATACACTGGAGGTTCGCCGATTATCTGAAGGAAGTTCTAGCTTTGACAGCGGCCGTCTACGAATCTCCGTCGTTCGGATACTCCGACGGTCTCGCTAATTCCATCTTTCCCGCGGTATGTACGCTATGTGTGCGCGCACGCTGTGTTTGATATGTTAATATACTAATGGAACGAATCTCGTGGCGTATATCTCGACAGAACTCTAAAGTCACCGTGAACGACTTTCTGGATACGCTCATGTCGGATCCTGGGCCACACTGCTTGATCTGGCTTCCGTTGTATCACAGAATGGCAGCCGTGGAGACAGGTAATCGCGTGGAATCCAAATGAGATCAGCCAGGACCGATTGGTAGAAGAGATTTCACGTAATCTCGATGTTTCAGTGGCTCATCCTATAATGTGCGACGCGTGTCACAAGGAGAACTTCACCGGATTCCGCTACAGGTGTCAGAAGTGCCACTCTTATCAGTTGTGTCAAGATTGCTTCTGGCGCGGTAAAGTCTCGGGGACACACAACAATGATCACGAGACGAGAGAGTATAGTAGTTTTGTACGTGTTATTTAGAATCGTGTCTTTTCAGATCTTGAAACGTTATTGTTTGCATGAAAGGGATTTCGCATTGATTCTTTATTTGTATATTTACTTGCAACGTAACTTGTCAATTTCCTAAGGAACGACAATTGAATTTTCGTTGGTAGAAGTCACCTAGCAAGCAGATTGGCCATTCGCTGCGGAAGAGCTTCAGATGCGTCCCGGAGAAAGGGAAGAATAGCTTGCCGCGGTTCCCGGAACAACCCGAGAAGACGTTAGATCTATCGCACATAGTGTTAGTATCTTTATTGTGCGCATTACTCCATATATTTCGCTTATCTCCGTCTCTCACAGCGTAATTTTACAATCCAAATAAATATATTCACTACGTTCCAGCCCACCGTCACCTTTACCATCTCACAACGGTTTTCCAGATCCAGGATTTATGGCTCCTTTTGATTCAGGATCAGTGGACAGCCGTTCGACCCTGAGAAGGTAAGTTCGAACGTATTTACGTTGCGGTACAATTCGTTTGCCTTTCGATTTGCGTGTAGACGCCATGCTTTACTTATTTCTTTTGTATATCGTCCAGTATGGACAGTTCAAGACTGGACGATGAACATAAATTAATAGCACGATATGCACAAAGGTTGGCACAAGAAGCAAGGACCATGGTAAGTCTTTTAACATTTACATACTCATTCTATACTCACTATATTTACACAGCTACACGCGTGTTATAATTCGCTTTGATATTTGAAGCGCGTTTGTTATTATTGCGCCTACTCTATTAAATTTACAAAAGCCGCGGGAGCTAATTAAAACTGTTCTGCGTTTCGCGTTTCGCGCTGTGTGCGCCACTAATATTAATTTCATAACTGCCCCGTTAACAGCCTCGTACCGCGTCCAGAATGTCCCAGGGAGATCAAGCAGTAAGTACGCATCGTTTAGAGTACCATTGGGAATGTTGCCCCGTGTAGGTCGTTTTATATGTGATAACTTTTCTGCTTGCAGGGCAGAGCACCGTCGGACGCGAACCTAGCGTCGTTGGACGCGTCGCGGGCGCAGCGTGAGCTTATATCGCAGTTAGAGGCAAAGAACAAGGAAATAATGCGCGAGATAGCAAGGTTAAGGTATACCTGTGTCGTTTATCTTCCTTTATATCAAGCCTAAACCTCGATTTCATCCTGTTGACCCATCCTAGGATCACGCATGTTCAGAACGTTCTGTTTCGCTTTGTGTGTTGCCTTGGTTGCATAGCTCGCACAACGAAACAAAGAGAAATAATACATCATCAACTAACTATTACCTGTTAACTACTGACTCTACTGACAACGATCAAGTGACGATTGCTCGCATTGAAATGACAAATGCGTTCATCAACATCGATCAATTTGTCGCGGATCTTTCTCTTGGACTGACATATTCATTAGAGATTCATATTCTAACTACTACATTAACCACACGTCACATCGCTTATAATAATGTAGACACAAATTTATGAAGTGGAATATCATGCGGTAACATGTAATCGCGACATATTCCATTTCCTTATAATGCAATGCACTTGAAAATGTTTCAAGGAAACTTTTATTTCCACATACAGAAGGCAACAGGAGATAGAAGCAGCAGGTTTAGAGAATCCGGCGTTAATGTCAGAATTGCGAGCTCTGAGGCAAAGGAAAGATGAATTGGAAACGCATCTGGCGACATTGCAAGACTCCAGGAGGCAGCTCATGGTACAACTGGAGGGTCTCATGAAAATGCTAAAGGTACTATCACGGATATGATTGTGTCAATTGGATTAAAGTTAATTAAACAAATTTATTCGCTATATTTTGCGCAAAAAATAAGATTAAAAAGGAGATTTATTAAATACCAATTGCTTTTGATTTTAATTGATATCCGCGAGAGCGACGTATAACGGAGCAAAGCTGTTTTCCATTCTTATATAAAATTGGAAGTGTAATCACTAATTTAATGCAATCCATCTCAACAGAATCACCAAGCGTCGCCGCGATCAACACCGAACAGTTCACCGCGGAGTACAAAGTCGCCACCTCTGCCGCCTGGTGCTATTCCTAGCAGTAGATCGGCGCCGCCGACTCCCGGTGGTCCTTTATCCACGACACCTCAACAGCAACAACAGCAACAGCAATCTCAGCAGCATCAAAATCAGTCGCAAATCTCGCAGAGCTATCAAAGTCCCGTTCCAACGACAGTGGCTAACGCGCAGGGCAACGCTATGCTCGGCACGATACAGAATCCTATTCCTGATAGCTTGTCGTGCGTTGGCGGCGATGTAAGGTAGGCACGCATGTACAAAGAGAAAATACATATAGAAGAAAGGACAAAACTTTCTCGAGAACACGTAAAAGAGCAAACGCAAAGATGGAAAAATTGTAAACGTTGAACGAATGCAGTACGCGTGATAGATAAACGATTATACGCGCGATTCACACGATGGGACAAGATATCGATACACAGCAGTCAGATATCACTTGTCCCACCATCTAGATACATTCTCGTGCGAATTTTCGAAACTGACATATATATTTTGTGTATATACGTAAAAAAAAAATAATTCCAACAACAACGTAGCTATATACTTCAATTGCGCCGTTGGCAGCTAATGATATAAGATCTATATTGACAGTAATTGTAAAATGAGATTTCACTCCGTACCTAGAATTGAGCTATCGTACATAAGATACGCATCACGTTGCATTTTGGTCCCATTAAATTATTCTCGATCGAATGAGCAAGTACGTAATGTTAAGAGGAAGTTAACTTTGAGAGAAACAGAAGTGCTCATTGTCATCGAATATCACGTTTATTGCTTGCATGCGAAACATCTACCCCGGTTATATGTCTACTGAAAAATTGGTTCCCTCCATCGATATTGCTGTAGCGATCGGTATAGATATCGTTGCACACACCATACAACTACTTCACGATTAGTTGAAGAACTCCTAAATTCTCCTGCATGCAAGTATAAGCGATGAGATACTTCTTATTGAGCTAGTAGCAAGAACAATATGGTACTAGCGCGAGATAAGTGTGAGGCAGTGAGTACCTCGTAAGAATGTTACTCAAAATCGTCAGGTCTATATATCAACTTGAAAAGAAAAAAAAACATATAGTAGAGATATTTGTATATCCATGTCATGTCATGTCGCTTATCCCCGTTTTAATAATTTCTTTTAAGTCATATTTTTTATAAGTTTTCTCGATATATTTCCCTTATATAAAGATATCTCTTCTTCTTTTAGTTCGTTTTATCATGTTTAGTCATTTTAAATGTATCATTTATGTACAGTACACACAAGAGTAATTATCCTAAGTAAGGAGAGAGTATTGATGCGTTGGATATATAAGTTTAACGCGTACGAGTTACCCATCCAATACCCCCCCCCC